GTCGCAGTATTAATGTCCGAAAAAATTAAACTCATTAAGAAATTTCTAAAAAAAAATCTGAGGGGGCTCAAACCAATTCTGAGGGGGCTCAGCCCACAATAGCCCCCCCCCCCGTGGCGCCGCCACTAATTTAGAGTATTGGAAGAATTTGCTACTCTAGAACAATTAGCATTGACATAGATTGATAGTGAACAACGCACAGCAGATCAAAGAAATTGAACGGATGCAAGAAAATATTCAGTGTCAAATGATACGAAGAAGCAGTGTTGTAACAAATGACCTTAGTATATATGATTTGTAGTGCTAAAAATAGCATGAGCTTCATAATATTAAAAGGAAAAAAAGCAAAACTAGATTAGCATTAGATTTGATCCTTTTTTCTTTCAGCGTCGTGTAGGAATATTTATTAAATATGTTTTTTCTTCTATTGTCGATTATTTTTTCCTCAAGAACAACTAACACAACCTCCGTATGAAATATCTACTGCTTGCATTTAACAAAAGCTAAACATGAATCATAATTCAAATTACTATATCATCAATCAAAAGAATTCTTTTACAAATCTATGCTTTTTAAAAGACGTTTCCGAAACGAAATGTGAGAAGAACTTTTCTCTATTTTTCAATTTAGCCTCTCGAGTAGAGGTGTCAACCGTGCGGGTTAGCCGCCGCCGCCGCCGATTAACTCGGAAAAATTAAAGCCGCCGCCGTTGAGGCACTTTTATTACAGCCGCCGCGCCGCCGATGGCATGCGAAATTTTAAAATTTATTAGCCGCCGCCGCCGACCCCTATCATTGATATCGACAATTTTTATTTATATTTTCATTTTTTAATGAATTTCGATGTTTTTATTCATTTTTCATCTCAATATGATATATAGAGATGCACCAATTTCTAGTACATGGTCTGATAGATGGCATTTTTGCCTGATGAAGAACACAGTTGTCCGCTGATTCCATAGAGCAGTCAAGATCAGTTTTTCGCCTTCTCTGAAACCATAGTCCACATTTATGAAAGATTTTAAAAAATGCTTCGGATTTTACGTGGATTTTACACAAAATTAGAATTTTCAAATTTTGTTGGGTCAAATGCTGTGAAATCTAATTCAATTTCAGACTTGCAGTTTGTATTAGACAAAATCCTGGCTCCGCCACTAACAAAATCTAAGAATAGATTTGAAGAGAGCGTTCAAAATTGAACAGAAATAATATGAAAAAAGATGCTCGGTTGATAACTGTCAATGACGAGCATGTTCTTGTATACAGGGGAAAAAACAATTCCTGGAATTTTTGATCTAATGTTTGTTTCTTTTCAGTATTGAGAGTTATCGACTGAGCATCTTTTTTCATATTATTTCTGTTCAGTTTTGAATGCTCTCTTCAAATATATTCTTAAATTTTGCCTAGTACAAACGACAAGTCTGAAATTGAGTTGGATTTCGCAGAATTTAAG